ATGTGGCTGAATAAATAGGGAATATATTCGTAGACTAGTGACCCAGTCTCGAAATCAGAACAATGTGTTTTGGGTAACAACGGTACTAAAATGCATCATATATACAAATGTACAAATTTTCCTAAACAAATATTACCACTCAGTTATTCAACCAACAATTGATGCCAAAATATTCAATCTAAATTACAATGAATAGCAGAGTGGTAAGAAATATATGAAATTTACCGAAAACATCAAAAGATAAGTGTTATTCCATCCTTTCTGGATAGATCAAGTAAGATTCCGTTTAAGTGGCTGTACTATAACATAAAGTGTTTTAATTTCTGGGAAAGTGCTCCAAATTACAACCAAATATGCACGATCCCAGTCAAAATCAAACCGCACAATCAAACAGCGAGCAGTCAATATGGCAGCCGCCAGAATAATAACGATTAAAACAAACTAAGCACAGCTCAGTAAGCAACATATAGGCTCAATAAAAACGATAATAAAACCAAGAAAATTAAATGTTACAGTCTTAATTAGCATCAAAAAAGTTAACAATATATTCAAATAAGGAAAACGTAAGGAAGAGATCACAAATGTATGCATGGAGGGATTTTCACTTTCAAAATGCATCTAACAATCGATGCTGACCTCTATAGTTTTACTGGACACACCCATGCTGAGGCCGCTCGACCACGCATCCACACTAGATCATGAGCATATACGCCGCGCTATACATCCCTTGAAACTACTGTCCAGCTTAGAATAAAAGCCTCTCAACATGTCAATAGCATTATATATATATATATATATGTATATCATCGGACCCTTTCAATTCCGACCTTTGATTTTACTAGGTTGGTTTAAATCCACTATGTAGACGTTACGTGTAAAGGCGTTGTCAAACTCCGAAAACCAGGAGCATCATTGAACTCATATTATGGATTATCGATTCTGTTGAATCTATTTAGCTTCCTATATCTGATGGTGACATATGTCGTCAACAAAATGTAAAATACGAGTTGCATTTAAGACATGTATATTTTAAACATTCCCGTAGGCATGAAAATTGAGAGATCCAGACTATAGCTGTTTTAACCTACTCAGTAAGACTGTCCGCCCGGTCATCACTGAGCCCAGGAAACGAAAACGCGCCTCGACACCCAAACAACAAGATACCAAACCTAGACGCCCTGGAAAACCTGGGAAATCAATTACGGTTCGTGACGGCTCTGTCATAATCATGAATCTTATTGACAACCCCGACCTTCCTCTCAGTTTGCAGGACAAAAATGATAATATGCTCTGGGGAGAATTAAACAAGAGGCTTGAACTCCCTAGAATAGAGCCTTTGACCGTCACACGGCTCACTCGGGGGAAGGACTCTAATCACCTAAACCACCCGAGGCTGCTTCGTGTTACACTTAAGAATGCCTCCGACGTAGAGGACGTCATGCTAGCCAGTCACTTACTGAAGTCCGATGGGAACGTAAGAATATTGCCCGACATACCGTATTCTGAACGAAATCTCATCCGGAATATCCTTAAGGAATCTCGCGAGGCGTTTTTCCGTGGACGAAATATCATTGTGCAAGGTGTGCCGGAAAATATGGACCCAACTCAAGCGAAATCTGATATTCGGGAATGGAAATTCATTAAGCATTCCTTAAAACTCAAGAACATATTGACCCAACAGGTAATGCGACTAGCCAAGAGAGAAGGAGACTCTAGGCCCCGGCTGTTGAAGATAACCTTCCCCTCCTCCCACATTGCGGCTGCAATTCTGGAAGCATTTCGTGCCAATAGACGTCGGTTGCCAGCTGGCATCCATATGCATCCGGATAGGCCCCGCGACAGCAGGATCAAGCACAAACGAAAGCTGGAGCTGACAATTCCACTCGTGGACTGTCTTGATCATAAAAAAACGTGTAAAGGACAGGGACTACCAACTCGTTAAACATCGTATAGGTAGGCTACCTGTCCACTCACACACGGCTCATATAGGCAAACAAGAAGAGGCTCACGCGTTCCAAATTGAAAGCATAAACTGCCTATACACGAATGCCGCGAGCTTGCCAAACAAAATGGATGAGCTACGTGAACTTAGCAACGCTAATGATGCCCATCTGATAGGAATATCCGAAACTTGGATAACGTCTCAGTTTACGGACCAAGAGTTAGCAATAACTGGGATGTCTTTATTTCGCAACGACAGAAAAACAGGAATGGGGGGTGGGGTAGCACTATACATGCGGTCATGCCTGGATGCGCACCAACTTCACAACCAAGAGTTTCTCAATCTTGATGAGTCAGTATGGTGCTCAGTAAGATTGTCTACAACCTCGAGGTGTCTAGTTTGGGTCATTTACAGGAAGCCCATTGCCGACATCGAGTATGACAAACGTCTGCTGGAAGGATTAACTCGCTCTACGCGTTTTGGATTCTCTCATATCCTGATTCTAGAGGACTTCAATCTCCCTAGAATCAACTTCGTGGAACATACATGCAGTGGTGGTGCCAACTCTACTGAAGCTCTGTTCTTCAACCTTATCGGCGACCTGAGATTATTCGAAAATGTGAAGTCGGCAATCCGTTGGAGAAACAGTCAGACGCCGTCGTGCTTAGACTGGGTATTCACAAATGAAGAATTCCTATTTGACGACCTCTCAATCCTGGCTCCCCTGGGGAAAAGTGATCACGCCGTCTTATCATTCAGCTTTGTCAGCAAGACGGAGCTACGATATCCTACTAGCAACAAGCGCTGGAACTTCAAACGGTTGAATGTGTTAGCTTTACAGGACTATCTTCAACAGGTGGATTGGGATGTTCACCCTCAACTTGAAGTGGATGCTCATTGGGATTTTTTACTGCACACGATCTTATGTGCTACTGAGCATTCAGTTCCTAAAATGGTCCCAAAAGCTACAAGCAACCTGCAATCATCAAGAACCGCACCCGTCGTTTGCTAAGCCGCAAAAGACACTGTTGGGCTAAATATAAACGACTTGATAACAACGGCGCGTACAGGCAATACAAACATATAAGGAACATATGCACAAAGGCAATAAGAGAAGACAGGCTTCAGTTCCAGACCAAGCTTATCGATAGATTTGTCTCCAATCCGAAGAGCTTATTCCGTTACGCAGCTTCTCTTCGACAAGGCAAAACTGGAGTTTCCCAACTGCTTGGTCCTAATGGCCCGACCAATAACGACAGTGATGCCGCTAACCTTTTGGCTGAACATTACTCCCGGACATTCCAGCTGACCCACACCAACCATACTGACGAAAGCTTCACCTTCACCTGTACAGGACTTTCCGAAGTGGACCTGAGTGCTGACCTGGTGCTCCGTAAACTGCAGCACCTAAGTAAAGACACTTCTCCTGGTCCGGATATGGTTCATTTCGCTGTATTGATGGAAGCAGCTTCAATCCTGGCGACACCACTTAGCGTGATGTTTGCACATTCGCTAAGCAGAGGCAAACTACGGGAAATATGGAAGCTGGCCCACATCACACCAATTTTCAAAGGAGGTCGACGCAGTGAACCCTCAAGCTACCGACCAGTGGCCCTTCTCTCCATACCTTCAAAAATTATGGAATCCCTAGTATACGACGGTATACTAGAATACTTATCATCCTCAAAGTTCTTCTCGTCTCAACAGCATGGTTTCAGAAAAGGTCATTCTTGTATGACCAACCTGCTGACTGCTGTGGATAGATGGGCAACCAGCCTTGATCGCAAGGGGAAGGTTGACGTCATCGACCTGGACTTCTCAAAAGCTTTTGATAGGGTCAACCATGCATGTCTTATCAAGAAGCTTGCACGATTGGGTATAAAACCCCCTTTGATTGATTGGCTCTCTTCATATTTAGAAAACTGACACTTTAAGGTCAGGGTTAACTTCACTCTCTCTCAGGCTATGGAATGTCCTAGTGGGGTCCCTCAGGGCTCAATACTAGGACCTCTTCTCTTCTTGATTTATATTAATGATCTTCCTCAACAAGTCTCATCTGACTTATTGCTTTTTGCTGATGATGTGAAACTTTGGAGAGAGATACGTAATCATAATGATATACTAGTTCTTCAGGAGGATCTGACCCGACTTCAAAGTTGGGCAGACGACAACGGACTTACCTTCAACACTTCAAAGTGCAAGGTAGTCCATCTGAGACATGTTTCAGACTATAGTTATAACTTAGGTAACTCACCTCTAGAAGTTGAAAAAGATTTAGGAGTGTTGGTACCCTACGACCTGAAATCGTATGCGAACTGTGACAAAAACGCCTCTCAAGCAAACCTTGCACTGGTAACATTGAAGCGCATTTTTGGCCAGTTTGACGGTAGAACTTTCCACATAATCTTCAACAGTTTTATTCGTCCCCACTTAGAATACGGAAACATAGTATTTCCTCCCTCCCTCCAAAAGGATAAGGTCACTCTGGAACATATACAACGTCGAGCCACGAAATCAGTTCGGGGTCTCAAATTCAAACCTTATGAAGAGCGCCTCAAATCACTTAACCTTTACCCGTTAGAGTATAGGCGTCTTAGAGGTGATCTTCTTATGACTTATAGTATCCTTAATACTTCTGGTCATCCCCTTAAACAACTTCTTAAGCTTAGTCATAACACTAACCTCAGAGGTAACACCCAGAAATTGGAGACCCTATATAGCAGAACAGACTGCAGACACAACTTCTACTCCGTTAGAGTTGTCAAGTGCTGGAATTCGCTGCCGACTGAGCTAGTCCAAGCGACCTCCCAGGAGTCCTTTAAGAGAAAACTTGACTTATTCTTAAGGACTAAGGATAACATATTATTATGATTTACCAAATTCTTTTTTTCCCTCTATTATCGTTCATATACCTAGGCTCTTGCCTGGAGGTATTGGTGATACACTGCTACCAGACACGGAAGCTCGTTAAGAGAAAGCTTCTTCTATTCCGTCCTCAACCATTTGAACCATTTGTTGTTGATTGCGAGGTCCATTTATTAGTTGCGCTACCTATGTCATGCCTGGTTTACCTACGGGTGATTTCGTAAATGTCGCAGAAGAGACAAAAGTAAGTTTAATTTATTTTTGTAAGACAATTAGTAATGCGCACAAATATCGGTTATCTTGGTAGTGCAATTAAAATGTCTATTCTTCAGGTTTCTCTTTTCAAAATTAAGGTTATATTTTAATGCTAGGTGCAGAAAATCACAGAGCAAATGGCCAAGTCATCTATCAAACAGTGTGAAGTGAAGTACAATGTAAAAACTCCAAAGGTAATACCAGTAATTCCTCTGATTGAATTAGGGAACAAGGGATCGGGATCCCATCCAAATGACAATTCTTGAAGATGTTTTTAGTACAATAATACGGTGTTTCAAGCGTCATGATGCGGTTACCATAGACACCCCTGTTTTTGAGCTCAAGGTAATTTCAGACGTCCATAACTTAACAGGAGTTAGGAAGTGCTAGCTGGAAAGTATGGTGAGGAATCTAAACTTATATACGATCTTCAGGATCAAGGTGGTGAGGCGCTTGCTCTTAGATATGATTTAACTGTATGTTAAAAGTAATATTTATGATACAATAAAGGTCCCATTCGCCCGTTATGTTGCCATGCATAAGATTAAATCTATCAAGCGATACCAAATTGGAAAGGTTTATCGGCGTGATCAACCGGCTATGACACGCGGTCGTTACCGAGAGTTTTACCAGTGTGTAAGTAAATTAATACAAATTATGCTTTTTCGAAGTCACTTGACTTCATTGTCGTGTCTGTCTAACGACTATATTTCCATATCATTTGGCCTTTGTCTCGACAAGGTTGGGTCTTTGGTTGATTCCTGATTTCGAATACCGCAGTTGCTCCTAATAACCTAATTCGCTCCCTATATGCCTTCTGAAACTTCAGGGCTGTAAATCTATGATAGTTAAAAGTACTCGAACCAAACGTTTACGAAACCCGTGTTCACCTCTATAACCTGCTCTGCAACTCCTCAATCAATTGTTTTCCGTGTTTTCATGGTAACTAGGGATATCGTCGACTAAAGGCCTATCTGCATGACCTTGATTACTCATCAGATTAGGATAGTCAAGTAGTGTAGTAGATTTCTTGATGTCCTGGAAGTCAGTTTCATGCACTGCCTCATAATTAATGCACACAGTTCTAGCATCTTGCAAGGAACACTTCGGCATTTGTCTAAGCTATCTTTCCAGATTTCATGTGTTAGTTCCTGCAATTATTCGATCACACAGCTGCATATGAAGTTGGCCATCGAAATTACACTCGGCTTGTTCCTGAGATTCAAGGATAAATCCTCTAACTTTTTGGTTGCCCTGACGAATCACTTTATGAAATTTCGCTTTTTCACGGCATTCAAAATTAGCACACTTTACATGATTTTGTAGTGGTTCTTTAAAAGTTGTTTGGAAAAATGTCGTAGGGTTGTCTGGTAATGTCCAATTTTTTAGTATTAGAATTTATATGCTAACTGGAAATCCCCGAAATACTGCTATTTAAGGCGGGTAAAGCTAGGTGAGCACAAATGGACGTAATATATTTGGAATTCGTAATCAGCGCACAATTAAGTACAAAGCAATCCCCAGTAATACAAATACTGCAAAATTATAGATACTAAAGGTTCATTCCAACGAAATGTCACTATGTGAGTAGTAGATAGGATCTGTTAGCTATAATTAAATTGACACCAAACATCCGTATGCGATAACGTCGAAATACTGTTTTTAAATTGTTAATGTATCTCACAAATCTAATAACGTTGTGTAGCCTAGTTATTTGTATGTAGCTCTACGGACTAATAACTCTTCAAGGCTATTTTTTCGTCCTAACTTTTTTTATTTCGTATGTAGTACTTCATCATACCTCTAGACGGGGGCAAAGCTTGCGTAAGGACCGGGAAGCCTGGTGGTCGGAGCGTGCTAATGAGATGGAAGCAGCAGCTGCATCTGGTAACTGCCGGAAGCTCTTCCAACTCATCCGAGCCACTGGCAGCAAGAAGTCTGGTGTGAGTGAAACAATCTACGAGGATGACGGGATGCCAATCACTAACATCTGTCGACGTCTTGGACGATGGGCGGAATTTTTCGAAGGGCAGTTCAACTGGCCTGCTGCTCCGGCAACATCAACCAGCTTGTCCTGCCCCCCATGGCCGGTGACGACTGATCCACCAAACGAGGCGGAAGTCCTCAAGGAACTCCAACTCTTGAAACGTTATAAATCACCTGGCCCAGATGACTTACCTCCGGTTCTTTTTAAAGATGGTGGTGACCTTCTGACCAAGGAATTGACTGTGTTGTTTGAAAAGGTTTGGGATCAAGAAAGTGTCCCAACATCTTGGAATGAGTCAATCGTCGTCCCTATCTTTAAAAAGGGTTCACGTTGTTCCTGCAATAACTACTGGGGGATAAGTCTACTTTCGATTGCGTCCAAACTATTGGCTTCTATCATTCTTCGTAGGTTGTTTAAAACCCGAGAACGATTGACTCGCGAGGAGCAGGCTGGTTTTTGTTCTGATCGAGGATGCATTGATCACATCTTCACCCTCCGCCAAATGTTAGAACACCGTCATGCTTATCGCAGGCCAACAATCGTAGTGTTTCTTGATATCAGGGCGGCCTTCGATTCGTTGGACAGGACTGTTCTCTGGGATTGTCTATTGAAGAAGGGTGTGCCTGAGAAGTTCATTAACATCTTAAAGGCCCTGTATACGAACACCTCAGGCAGAGTGAGGGCATACAACCACCTTTCTCCCTTGTTCCATTCGAGCAGTGGGATTAGACAGGGTTGCCCGATCTCACCATTCCTCTTCAACTTTGCCATCGACGACATCCTGGAAACAGCTCTGATGGATGTAAGTAATGGCGGTGTGGATATGTTGCCTGGGGATCGACTTCTCGACCTTGAGTATGCGGATGATATTGTCTTACTGTGCGATAATGCCCAAGGCATGCAATCAGCACTTAATCAGTTGGCAATCAGTGTCCGCGTGTACGGCATGTGCTTTGCACCCTCCAAGTGCAAAGTACTCCTACAAGACTGGCAGGATTCTCATCCTGTACTCACCCTGGATGGTGAGCAGATTGAAGTAGTTGAGAAGTTCGTGTATCTAGGTAGCTATATAAGTGCTGGTGGTGGCGTGAGTGATGAGATTGATGCACGTATAATGAAAGCCAGAGCGGCTTATGTCAATCTGGGCCATCTTTGGCGCCTTCGTGATGTTAGTCTGGCTGTAAAAGGTCGGATCTACAACGCGTCGGTTAGAGCAGTTTTGCTCTATGCTTGTGAAACCTGACCTCTCCGAGTTGAGGATGTTAGACGTCTCTCTGTGTTCGATCATCGTTGTCTCTGAAGGATTGCTGGCATCCAGTGGCAACACCATGTTAGTAATGCAGAGGTTCGGCATCGTGTGTTCGGGCGCAGAGACGATAATTCAATTGGTGTCACCATCTTGAAACACCGACTTCGGTGGCTTGGACATGTTTTACGAATGTCGTCCCAGAGACTTCCACGTCGTGCATTATTTGCCGACCCTGGGACTGGTTGGAGAAAGCGGAGAGGAGGTCAGTGTATGACATGGTGTCGTGGCATGAAAGAGAGCTGCAAAGGGCTAGCTTCCGTTGGTCCTTCACGACTCCCTGGTTGGGGTCCGAGAGATAGTGCAACACAGTGGCTAGAGACGTTATCAAATATGGCTCAGAATAGAAGCCAGTGGCGATCCTGCTGCAACCTTCTTTTACTTTCTACATAAAGAATGGTTCTAACTTTCTTAACTGAAAGAGTCTTCTGGTTGTACATTTCAGCCCGCCTTATCTTTTCATCCCTTCTCTTCCTACTTTCATTATTTTGTGTGGCGCATATGTACCTGGTGCCCTTTTGTACCAATATATATGTGTTTAAATAAATAAATAACTAGACGGGGGCTTAACATTTAAGACGTTTGGCTTTACCTAAAATACCGGTTAGCTCAAAGTAATATATTGAATGTTAATCCACATTCATTTGTCTCATATACAGCCTTTATAATTTTTTTTCGTCAATTCATCTGTCTTCATGTATTCAGTCTCTTCCTTTATTGTAATGCTTGAGACATGTTGAAATGGCATGTGTGTCTATCTAAAATCAATCCACTAAGTGCAACAAACACATGAACAATATACAAACTATAATCGTACGTTAATAATGAGTACGGCAATGTTTCACATTAGGTAAATTCGGGCTGCACCTCGTTAACCATCGATTTAAAAGTCACCATTTCATTCTTACACAAACGCTTTCTCATCTTCCAGGATTTCGATATTGCTGGAGATCATGGGCTAATGTTAGCGGATGCAGAATGCCTTCGAATAATGTACGAAGTGCTTTCGGAATTGAATCTAGGTGATTTTGTCATCAAGATCAACCACAGACGTTTGCTTGATGGACTGTTTTCGGCTTGTGATGTGCCATCGAACAAGTTTGTCCCAGCTTGTTCCTCAATTGACAAACTAGACAAGGTAGGTATTAGATTTGTTCAGTAACCATTTTGTGGATTTCTTTATGTAACAGAGCAAAGAGAATATGATGACCATAGCTTAATGACCAGCCATGGGTTTATCTACCAAGTTATGAAATAAACCTGTTGTTAGACTTAATATCATTATTTTGCTCAAACCCCAACTAATGAAAGAGTCCGAATCTGTGACTTGATGGCTGTAATTTGAGTACTTAAATCTGCATACCAGCTTCACATGACATTTCTGTGCAGCGTAAAGTCTATGAAAATATCCATATCAAGGCTATCATTGATTGAACCTATTTTTCATGGTGCTTAGCTAGGTATGTTTTTAACTTGTGCATCCTGAGAAACTGCGTCAAGCATATTTATTAGATCTCAAGTCCAATGTTTCGGTATTAAAAAAACATTTGCGGAAACACCCTATTTCGGGATTTTCTGTAACATTTTCCATGTTCCTTAATGTAGGGCTTTTGGCATTCTTAATCACTCAAACCTAATTTTGTTGTTAGTCTTATTAAGAATACCGCTGCATATTTGTTATATCACTACACTCAAAATGTGATTATCTATAATAAACATTACAAATTGTCATCAGAAACTGTGCATGATTACGATTCTATGCCCCCAAAAATGAAGTAACTGGGAAACCTTTTAATCAGCCAGGTACATTTCTGTTCATTTAATTAACCTATATTGAATATTCAATGGAAAAGTTTCATTCACTTAATGTGTGAAGTTTGTGAATGTGAAAGCAATCATACATCGATAGGGAATTAGTTCACATTCTTGCGATAAAAAATTAATGTAAAATGTATAGCAGAATAATACGTGAAGTGAATACCTTGATGCTCGATTGTTCCAGTTATAAAAGAATTATTCACATTTTGTAGAATTAAATTGTCTCTGCGACAGAATCGCAAATTTCATGTCAAGTGTGACGATGCAATTTGAAACTACATCATACAAAATAATTTCACCGTCAACTATTCTGGCTGGGACAATCATTCCTCGAGGTCCTACCATGCAAGACAGGTCGGTTGAAGAGCGGTAAGACTAAAAGCAGCAAACCCAAGGTCCGAAGGCGAAGTCGTACCGCTTACTGTACAGAGGTGTGACGGCAGTAAGGTGTTTCCTTCAGACAACCAGCATAACAGCAATGCTGCCTTCCCATAAGGAGGGGTGAGGTGAGGGAGCTAACACAAAAATTACCCACAAAAAGGTCGTGTGTGACCGACCTCAAGCAGTTTTCCCTTGGGCACTGCGGTCACGCTGTCAGGTGACTAAGACCATCTCTAACCCAATTCCCTTTTCAGGTACCTCCAGAAGAACCCTTGCACAGTGTGGTCAACCGGGACGTGATGACTGCCCTCATACCTCTAACAGCACTCAAGATCACTGTATTCATAATCAATCTTTCTCTGTAATTTCTGTTATTCCTCCTACATCAACTTTCAACACTAAACTTTTTCTTTCGGCTTCCTCCTCAAGTGTCACCATAGCCAACGATTCTAGTGAACAAAACACTGTCCTAGATCTACTGAAACCTCTATCCAAACCTTGGGGGGGGCTTTAACGTACGTACTCTCTGTCAAATTTGCTAACAGGCCTCTTTGCCTAAAACCCTAGAATCTCGTACCATTGATGTATGCAGACATAGTACTCGTAACAGGTGACTTTAATGCCCAAGTAGATAGCTTAAACCAAACAGAAAAACGTTTAGGTGGGTATTTTAGTATTCCGGTTCAATGAACAGATAATGGTGATCGTCTGATGCAACTGTGCTCAGACAATCGTTTATTTTCAGCAAACATTGATTTTAAGCGTAAGGAGAGACATCGCCTAACATGGCGACCACCTACACCAAACCAACGATGGACTCAAATAGACTATATTGCCATCAGTCATCGTTGGAGAGGCTCAAAAGAAGACTGTCTCTTGTTCTGGGACACCTGTTTGGACTCCGATCATGCTCTAATACGAGCATGCATTTGTTTGAGCCTCACTGGACTTGGAAAAACCACACTAAGAATACCCATTCGAATTGAACTAGAGGGCGAGAAAGCCGAAGGTAAGTTCAGGGAACAGCTGAGGTCACACTCAGGTAGTTCTGTAAACGAGGCTGACCTAGATATTGCTTGGAAAGATATACGAACAGCTGTAGAAACAACAGTAACATCTTTTAGTAATTTAAACCAAAAGGTTGCAAAAGACCAATGGATTTCTTTCAAGTCTATTGAAATGATTGATTCTCGTAAACTCATCCTATAAGGCTCTGAACACGATAAAGAGCGAAAGCAAATCATATCTAGGTTAATCAAAAGTCTGCGGAACGATCATGAGCAGTGTTAGGCAACAAAAGCAAAAGAGATGGAAAAGGCAACGGTTGTAGGTAACACCAGACAACTCTTCAGACTAATAAAAGAAACCGGAAACCCGAAACCCTTATCTGCTCTCAGTCCAGACGTTCAGAACGATGGGCGGAACACTTTAAGGAGAAGTTCAGATGGCCTTCAGCAACTGTACAACTACACACTATTCCCAGAAAACCTGAATGGAGCATTGGAGTAGATCCCGCTACTGTAGCTGAAGTTCAAAAGCTTATAGCTAATCTGAAACAAGAAAGAGCAGCTGGTCCAGATGGATTGGCTCTAGAGGTCTTTAAATATGGTGGTCCAATTTTAGCGATTAGGTTGATTAATATTTTAGCTAAAATCTGGAAGTTGGACGTAATCCCATCTGACTGGTCGCAATCACTGATTGTCCCAATATATAAGAAGAGGTCAAAATCATCATGTGATAACCATAGAGGGATTGGTTTGACTAATATAACATCTAAAATACTAGCCTCAATAACTATCGGGCGCCTAACTAAGACTCGTGAACTGTAAACACGAGAAAATCATGCTGGCTTCAGACCTGGTCGTGGCTTTATCAACTACATATTCACTATTCGTCAGGTTTTAGAACACAGACATGCTTATCGGCGTCCGACAATGTTAGTTTCCCTTAACTTGAAAGCAGCATTTGACTCTGTAGACCGAGAGGTTCTGTGGCAGCGTCTGTCATCGGATTGTGTACTTCAGAAGTACATAAACCTTGTGAAGGCTCCTTACTCGAACACTACCAGTCGAGTGAAAGCTTATGGCGAACTGTCATCCGATTTTGAAACCTCAAGTGGTGTCTGGCAAGACTGTCTACTATCTCCATTTTTGTTAAACTTCATCATAGACCTACTTCAGAAAATAACGTTCTGGTCGACTGAATTTTTGGAGATCGGTCTCCCACCAGGAGGTCCACTTTTCGACTTAGAATACGCAGATGATATATTACTGTTTGGTGAAGACACTGACAAAATGCAGAGTATTTTGGTAGCACTGAGTAACAATGCCAGGATATTTGGGATGCGTTTTCCCCCCCCATCTAAATGTAAATTGTTACTCCAGGACTGACCTGCGTCAACACCTGAACTAAGGATAGGGAGTGCAGTAGTCAAACGCGTCGACAACTTCACTTATCTTGGAAGTCTGATCAGTCCTAATGGATTGGTGTCTGACGAAATCTCAGCACGGATTCAAAAAGCTCGTTTGGCTTTTGCTAACTTACGTCACATATGGCGAAGGTAGGATATCCATCTATCAATTAAGTGACGAGTACACTGTGTGGCAGTTCGCTCTGTTCTACTTTACGGCTGCGAAACGTGGCCATTAAGAGTAGAAGATACTCATGAGTTACTAGTATTTGACCACAGATGCCTTAGAAACATTGCTCGCATCTGCTGGGATAACCGGGTAAGTAATAGTGAGTTTAGACACAGGGTATTAGGGAATAATGTTAAATCAGTTGAAGAGGTCATGAATCTTCATCGACTAAGATGGTTAGGCCATATGTTACGTATGCCTGAACACCGATTACCACGACGCTCAATGCTGACTAGTATAGGAGATGATTGGAAGAAAGTTAGGGATGGCCAAACCAAAACGTAGTATCAGTGCTTGAAGTCACTAACTTCTTGTCTGAGCCATGTTGGTAGGTCCAGACTACTCGGTTGGGGTCCGCATGACTATTGTAACCAATAGTTGGAGACTGTGTGACATGGCTCAGAATCGATCACAATGATGTAGATGTATACACTCTTTATCTTCCCCTCAACTGTGAAATTAAAATTGTACTATCTTTCTTCTTGTACATATCCTTGTACACAATCTTTATTTTATATATTACTACCGTTGAAGTGACTACTTCTATGGATTTGGTGTTCATCTTGTTATGCTAATGAGGTGTGGCAACTTGGACCGATGCATATATGTACCCGGTCCTACGTTGTAGCTGACTGACTTTTTCACCATTTTATTTCATCTCGTTTTTCGTGTTTTTGGTAAAGAAAAAAACGTGTTGAAATACCTCGTGCTGAGAATTCTATATTATATCAGAATATAATATTGAATAAAGCCGTTTATATCAATAATAACTGATTTCGTTACTGCTCGTTATTTGTTGTTACGATATACTTAGTACCCCGAAACTATTTACCTAAATTTATGATACCTTTGATAGGTTACTATTCTTGATGAAAATGGGTCTCTTTACTTTTAGGTTAATAATGTTACGCAGTAGAAATCCATGCACTCAGACTACACAATCTTCACAAGAGCTAGTGACATTACTTGGATGAAGTTCAATCTTACAACACTATAATTTAAAGTGGAGTACTGTAAATGGAATGTTTGCTTCGCTTATTTCAATATAATAGTTTATTAGTTCAGTAATAAGTCCCATTTAAATAAGATGATTCCTTTGAACTTCTTGAAAAATATCTATGAAATCTAATAGATTTTGAACTGGAAGCGACTTCCAACAATTGGTACTGTTAGGAGAGATTACTAACTAAGTGTTTGTATGATAAACCCAGTACAGTGACAGTTTAACAGTCACTATTTAGTAAATCAGTGTTAGTGTTTAGTAGCCTGCATTTATACATGACATGAACGTGGACACTAGCATCAAAGATTCCACATGTGTCTGTGGGCTTGTGCAACAAAACTATAGATGAGAAGGTTTTGTGTATTTGAATAAATATATTCACACAGGCCTTTGTGTTCATGAACCTTGTCTCTAAGTCGCGTTCATTTTGTATTTTCTAGATTCCTTGGGAAGATGTCAGACGGGAATTATGTGAAGACAAAGGGTTGTCACCTGAAGCTGCAGATAAAATTGGTTCATATGTTCAGTTAACTGGATGTTTGGATCTCGTTGAACGTCTTGAATCAGATGAGCATCTGAATAATCAACCATCAGCTAAAGTCGCCCTTCAGGAAATGAGATTATTATTAGACTATTGTAAAGCACTTGGGATCCAAGAGCGAATTAGTTTCGATTTAAGTCTAGCGCGCGGGTTGGATTACTATACCGGTGTTATTTACGAAGCTGTTTTGAAAGGTTTGTCTAATGAGCTCATCAAATGTTTTCATGTTTCACTAACGGTATTAGCACAACAAAAATGTATTGTAATTTTGTTAGAGTTGTGTTTTCTGTAATATATAGTTTGATTATACAGCTTTTACCATCCTTCAACAAAAGAAGCACCTAAAAATGTGTAAGGTCTGATAATCTTTTTATAAATAACTCACCAATATGACTGTTAATTGTGTTGCTGCCATCCGTAAAACTTTTGACTAACTACATTCTTGACCTTTTTCCGTTAAATGCTCATATGATTACAAAGTTATGTATAAACGTTAGTGCTAAGCTTCTAAAAACTTGTTAAGATTTATTTATATTCCTATCGAGGTGCTCACGTTTTTATCCTACTAAAATCTGCCTGTTTGCATCATTCTTAGGTTAGGTATATAGAGACAATTAACTGGTATATAGTCCTTCGTTGTATTGCTATGAGTTTTAAGTATATTTATGTGGAAAATTCACTTTATTATATAAAGTGATTAGGGCTTTAGAATTGAATCCATAACTATCAGATGAATTGATGCTAATCAGCTGTCTATAAAAGGTTGTTTTTCCATACTCGTATAATAAACCAGCTAAATAATAAGGAATTAATTGAAATAACTTTTGTAAGTTCTGTCTTTTTTTGATGCTACAAACCACCGCTTTCCATGAATTACTGTCTCAACGAAAGCACAAGTGGCATCCTCACTTTTTAAAAAACGGACTGTAATTAACGTTTTCTGACCGTTGCTGCTACCTTGACGTGGTGGTCGGGCTTGCCTATCGTCATGAACCAACCGAACTATTCTGGCTGGGACAATCGTTCCTCGAGGTCCTACCATGCAAGACAGGTCGGTTGAAGAGCGATAAGACTAAAAGCAGCAAACCCAAGGTCCGAAGGCGAAGTCGTACCGCTTACTGTACAGAGGTGTGACGGCAGTAAGGTGTTTCCTTCAGACAACCAGCATAACAGCAATGCTGCCTTCCCATAAGGAGGGGTGAGGTCAGAAAAGGTCGACCCTATAAAAGTTACACCTCACCTTATCCCACGGATTTCCGTCGGTAAGGTTCTAGCAAGTACGGAGCTAACACAAAAATTACCCACAAAAAGGTCGTGTGTGACCGACCTTAAGCAGTTCTGTATACCTCTTAAATGGATGGGGTGTGCATCAGTAGTATTAGGAGTGCGTTATTGAACAGTAATCGCATGCTTTGAATAGTTGCTTTACTATTGTGTTTATATTTCTCGGATTGCGTAGCAATTAAAAGCTCATAACGCAAAGAAAAATATAGATAATTCGACACCCTTTTATCTGTTTATTTCAAACCTGATGCTCAAAGATTAGTCCTAAACAGTTAGGTCTTAATTAATTGTATAATAATTGACGTATCAGCTAATTTCTTCCACTTGCCTGTAAAATTTTACCATGTGTATTTTGTATTCATGTTTTGTATGTGAACATGCTATTTTATTACATAGAAAACTATTCATTTGGCTAATGGTGTTGTATTCAATTTCTGATCTTTCGTGAACTTAAGTCAAGCCACATTATACTATAACGTTTATCTATCGATTCACATTCTATTCGTTGATCTCAACAATCGGAAATTTCGTTTAATTAAATTACAGAAAACCTCTTCGACAACAAAGCCACTTGTTAGTAGTTATACGGAACGTAGAACCTCGTGCATATATTCATCTGTGCATGTTCCGACACTGCATCAGCACAAATTGAACTTGTGTCACGTTTTACGTTGTTTATGATTGACTGACTGACTAATTAATATTTTCTAGTTATTTGTAGGTACTTGCTACAGCCCAATAAGTTTGAGTTTGTTTCCTATTTATTGATCATTGCCTTGACAATTTACCGTACACAATTTGTCATATATGGGCCAGATTCTTCTTTATCATTGTGTTTCTACGTGCAAGACGCCCACTAACCATATCATAGTATAGATAAAAACATTATTTCAAGGGTTATTATAAGTTCAGTAAAATGTATTCGTAACCTACTATGATCGCTCTTTTGCCAAAAATACAACACAATATTTAAATGAAATCCACTGTTTGTTTCACATAACAGGTTTCACTTACAATCCAAATAGTCCAAGTGCAGAATTGACTGGTTCCAATGAAACTGACCTAAACTCCTCTGTAAAAAGTAAAAAATCAAGTAAAAAAGATAAGAAAGCCAAAGAACAGTTAGAGGAGGAATCTGTTACATCTGGTGAATCCATGGCTGTTGGTAGTGTAGCTGGTGGCGGCCGATACGATGGTTTAGTGGGAATGTTTAGTTCTTCTGGAACACGAGTGCCATGTGTCGGTTTTAGTTTTGGGGTTGAACGACTATTAGCAATTAAAGAAGCTTTGAGTAATTCTTCAGATAAGAACAAATGTAGCGTGCGACCAACTGAAACTGAAGTCATGGTTGCTGGAGCTCATAAGGGTCTTATCATGCAACGTTTACAATGTTGTCAACTTTTATGGGATGCAAACATTAAGGTGAGCATTTCTTTTTTAAGTTTTATTTGATTGATTCAAATGTCTTAGTGTTAAAACAAATAATTTTTATTTCTGTTTTGTAAAGGGAACAGTCTCATAACATTAAGAAAACGAATTACTTCTTGTTATATTGACTAAAACAGTTACAACCAGAGACTACCCAATACTTGAATAACACCAATCTTTCAATTTTCTAACTAGAATTATAAAGAAGTGATCTCCCTCTGAATGTTATTTTGTACTTTCCGTTTCTGTTAATTTTACTCCTGCTTCAGTCTGGGCACCTGGGCAGTATCACAGCCCTCAAGCAAATCGAATGAGATTTGTATGGCGCATATGTATCCGGTGCTTCCTTGTACCAATATTTATGTTTAAATAATAAAAATAACTCCTGCTTTTAAAATTTGTTGCGTCCTTGAATCTGTCTACCCACTTTAGTGCCGAGTATAACTTGTCTAATGTAGATTAAGACCTTGACGCGATAGGCTGACTGGCTTAACCTTGAGGCTAGTATGCGTGAGTTCGAAGTGGGGGTATAGAGACGAAAACTATACTGTCCCTGATTGGCTAACAAGCATGCGGGAGAGAAAGAAGACAAGGACAAGTGAAACACTAATCACTTTATTCCAATCCCGATCTCGCACTCGAATCCCGAATTCAGATTAGCGCAAAAAGATACATGAATAAATAGATGACTAACCTGACCACAACAAACAAACAATTAGGAAAATACAATTATTGTTTAAAAATCCCAATCATATTAAAAGACTAATATTTGAACGAAGAATATTCTTTTCGATAAATTCTCTTCAGGTTCTACAATTATATATCCAAATTACTAATCCGAAAAATTGACCAGGTTAAAGGCAAAGTACATAGTTTAATGCATGTAAATTTAGGATTGTCAAATCAAATAGTTAATGTTGATATGACTCATATAGAATGTTAACTTGAATCTGTATATATGTTAAGTGAAAATTTAAGATCTGTGATCAGAATATAAATATGGGTCAGATAGGGTGAGAGAGATATGATAGTGCAATTACAATCCGATCAAGTGGAAGACTAAATGTGTGAAAAATTAGTGAGACGTAATAAGGAGGGATCAATGCGATGTGAATGAATCATGTCTAGGGGGGATTAATAATGATATTTAACCAATAATAATAATAATAATAATAATAATAATAATAATAATAAAATACAAAGATTTGTGAATAAAGATAAGAGACAATTACATTTGACTACGAAAGGTCGACAATTATGTCCAAAACTGGGGGATTGTAGTAGAAAATAGAGTACAAAAGTTTACGTCTAAATTACAATAGCTTTGCAACAGAAAATGCTATGGCAGTATATCATACACCAAACAAAAGCTTATTATCTGTAGAATAGATTAGGGTCAAAAGTAAAGTTTTGAATTAAATGAAATAAAGTCCCCCCAAAATAGCTTCCGTAGTTTGTTCAGACTTCTTGTTTCGCGGTTCATATCAAAATTATATTCTGTTTGGTTTGTTTCTATTAATACTATTGATACTCTTAATTCAAATCTATTGCTTTTCCTTTTTATGGTTGTATGGTTTGCCAAATTAAATGGATGTACATTCATGCCAGTTCCTATGTTGTTAATGTTTTACTGATGTGCTGGTTAAGATGGTTTTTTTGTGTTAATACAACTCAGAATCTCTATGCGAGTTTATGTCCGGGATTGTAAAGCGCATATTGTACAAATACTTGTTATTTATGCCCAGAACTAACCAATCATATCATGTTAACCTAGTCTAGTTTATGTGTAGACTATCTATCTATCTATTCATTTCGATATGACACGCAATACTGGTCGGTATGTTTGTGCGTTCCACTTATGACTATAATTCCTTTAACTATTGTAATAATTGAATTGTTTTTTACGTTTAGAGACATAAAGTTTAAAGCCAAGTTGTCCTTGTCCTAACCATAGCCTTCACATAGACTCTGGGGTCGCCAGTATTGCGTTTACAGTCCTAGTAGAATATCTATAGGACAAATTAAATCCTACATACTAATGATACTTATTTGAGGACTTAAACGTTGTTAAGTAATTTTGATGTTAGTTATGGGATACTAGGTAAATGTAGCAGCTTAGTTAATGAGACTATCAACCTTCATCGATTGAGGTGGTTATAATGTGTATTAGGTATGACCATCCACCGCTTACCTTGACAGGGAATGTCCGGTGTAAGAGTAGGTTATAATATAGCTAAAGCCGACCAAACCAAGACATCGTATCAGTCCATGAAGTCATCGATTGTTGGTCTGAGTCACTTTGGTAGATGGGGACCACGAGGTTGAAGCCGGAGCAATAACCGCAACTTGTGGTTGGAGGCGTTTTGTGATGTGACTCATGATCGTTCATGATGTCTCTTAGGCACTCACTTTTTATTTTATTCGTAATCTTGAATTTCAGTATTCCTTCATACATACCTTTTCCATCTTTTCTCAAATCATAATATTTTCCATCATCATTATTACTACATTACTTCATTCTCTTTTACTACACGCCTTGTTAATTTGGTCTCAATGGTGTTATGGTATAGTAACTTGAGCCAACGCATATCTGTGTCAGGCTCTACGTCGATGATGACCGATGAACTCAAACAGTATAGCGGTTAAACCTATTTTCATTAAGTGAATTTCTTAAGTAATAACTGCACAATTGTTCTTACAGTTCTCAAGATATTTTGTACATGAATTGAATGATTAAATTACATGACCAAAAGTTAAATTTCCTATTGTCCTTTCATAGTATTGATGCTGTTCTATTATTCCTGTCATCAATAGATTAAACTTAATGCATAATTTTACTTCTACTTCTAAACACTTAATTCACAGGCTACAATGTCGCATAAAAATCACCCCAAACTATTGGATCAACTACAGTATTGTGAATCAACTGGTATTCCGTTGGCCGTTGTTCTGGGAGAAAGTGAATTAGCTCGTAACACTGTCAAGTTGAGAGATATTGAAAGCCGAGAAGAATACGAAGTTTTGTACACAGATCTTCTGAATAAGATCAAAGAAGTACTATCTACCAAATACCATAAATAAAACTTTGTTACATACTGTATTTGGCTGTGTGATGTTTTTCTGAATTTGTGCATCTCATAATCTGGTATTATTTGACGTAATTTACCAATACAATTTTATCGCGGAAATAACGACTTAAACTTATTGGGATTTTAATTAATTACATGTCATTTCCTTCTGTTCAGAAGCATGGTTTCGCCATCAAATGCCTGTATCTAGGTAATATGGCCACGCATATATAGCCTCTGCCAGGGAAGTCCTACTCACTGCCTTCTCGTGACGGATGTTGCTTACGAAATTGAGAGGACGTAAAGCGAATGTCCGGCGCTTTAACCGGTTTGGTGGACACGAAAAGTCCACTTAGGGGAGTTGGCGAACCTGATTTCAAACCAATGGTGCACATGGACTCCAGTATCCTGAGGGAACAAATGGCGTATGAATTAATCGTTTGTCACCGGCTACTATAGGACTGCATCTCCTTACGATGCTCCACTGCCTTGTGGATCAGACCCTTATGTCAAAGGCTCCGAGTGTGGCCCCTTAAGAAAACCACCTGCTTCAGTTTGATCACCTGGGCAGTATCATAGCCCTCACACAAATTAAATGAGATTTGTGTAGCGCATATGTATCTGGTTCTTGTTTGTACCAATATTTATGTGTTTAAATAAATAAATAAAAACACTAGTGTTATTTCTCTTTTTACCGTTATACAATCAATTCATAAGAGAAATTTCGAAATTAGTATATAGCTTTAAAGTTAGAGAAACTTTTGAAAATCTATTTCAACTATTATTTGTATTTTTATACTGGTCCTTTTTAAAGTTATTATGTGGTTTCCTCTGATTTGCATTAGAGTCCTAAATAATAGCGATGGTTATCACTAAATTTTAAAATCAAAGTTATTTACAAAACTGCATTGGGTTTTTTTCAGTGCTTGGACTATTTAATGTTACCTTCCATGAAAAAAATTATCCAACGCTTGTCAGACAGCTATTTTACCCTAGCCTATAACTTTTCAGTAGTAACTGCATATATTACGATAATAATATTATTCGGTCACCATGTCAATCATCTAAAGTTCACAATTTCTGTCTGTTCGCTATTACACCCGGTTATCATCTACTTTTATCGGTAATCATCGATTGACTCTCTAGGTCAAGGCTTTGCAATAAAATATAGAAAGACACATCTCCGAGACATTCATGTTTAACTTGAGGACAATGTGTTTTCTTACCAAAAACAAAGCTTCGATGAGATAGCCTTTATAGATTAATAAGAGGATGAAATTCATATAACAATGACAAGATTAGTGACATTACTTCCTAATTAATTAACCACTTCATTGTATAAGTATAGATGTTGACCATCCTGCAATTGTATACCCTGATACTCATTTGAACCTAGTCATCAGGAATGTAAGATTTCATTGTTGGGAAATACTGTTAATTGATCACCGTTTTATATCTCCAGTTGACAGAAATATTTTATCCTAACCTCCGGCTGGAAACGTATGATTGGACACTAACGGTCAAGCGTTTACTGACAGAACTGAAGTCTTTGGTTCAATCCCTAGTGAGATCATCGGTATGTACTGATGGCAATCTCCGTACTACGATGAGGCAGCTATCCAGTCCTCCCTGGTTATATACGGTTGTCTGGTCATAGTCGGTGTTTGATGTAAGCTAGAGAAGATTTATATCTAATGCTATTTGTAGGAGAAACAGACGTTATCTAAGCATGTTAAGCTCTTTGCTTAACGAACAACGTTCAACAGGCAATCAGTCGGTTAATAATAACATCACGAAGTCAATGATTCGACACTTGACATCACTAGTAATTTTAGTTTGATATAACCTAATGATTAAATATCAATTTACTATCTAGCTTCACTAATAAGCCATCTTATTATTAGATTTTCTCACAGAACTAATGCTTTGAGACTTTTGCAAATCTAACTTCATGAGTTATTATAGTATGCTTCTGATTCATAGTGACTTATTGAATAGGAACACGAGGTATTCTCGTTCAGAACATGAAGTGGTGAGTTATGAAAACTGTCTAAATCATAGAAATTTCTACAAAAGATCTATCTAGTTGATGGTCATGCGCTTGTCACTCACTAGCTTTAAAATGTATTTCTCAAAGTTATGGTGAGAAGCTGTGAATTGTTAAGTCAAACAAATCGGGTGAGAACTAACTGCTGTCTACCACCGTTAGCTTCGGATGAGGGTCTTGCTATTTCCAAAAATGATTGAAGTTGAACGAAACGCGGACAGGTGGATTCTGATTCAGAGATTCGTAGGTGCCTCCAAATGCCCTGGTACGGCCGAGAGTGCGAAGAGTCCGCTCTCCCTCTCCAAATGCTCTCACATGGCCACGCATATATAGCCTCTGACAGGGAAGTCCTACTCACTGCCTTCTCGTGGCATTACTGTTGTTTACGAAATTGAGAGGACGGAAAGCGAATGTTCGGCTCTCTAACTGGGTCGGTAGACACGGAAAGTTCACCTAGGGGAATTGGAAAACCCTGATTCCAAACCAATGGTGCACATGGGCTCCAGTATCCTGATGGAACAAATGGCGTATGAATCAATCGTTTGTCACCGGCCACCATGGGAATGGATCTCCTCACGATGCTCCACTGCCTTGTGGATCAGACCTTTATGTCAAAGGCTCCGAGTGTGGCCCCTTAAGAAAACCACCTGTTTTATTTTGGGCACCCGGACAGTATCACAGCCCTCACACAAATCAAATGAAATTTGTGTGGCGCATATGTATCTGGTTCTTGTTTGTACCAATATTTATGTGTTTGAATAAATAAATAATAATTTGCGAGTGCCATACTCACTGTAAAATATCTGTTTTGTAGTCGTGGATGTATATTGCTATAAAGCCCCTAAATAGGATGATATGGTTGTCCAGTACTCCTCTGATTCTTCCAATCGTCTTAAGTGCGTACCAACCCTTCACTCAAACTACTGTCAAATTATATGAAATATCCAACCAGAATTTACAGTACAATTATACTTATCTCGCCTTTGAATTTGTCTAAATTAAATCACAAACTATTCATAGGTTATCCTGATGAGGAGTTCAGAACGCAAATAAATAACTGTCAATCTCTTAGTTTCATTTATTCATCAGTTACTAATGTAAACCAATTTTAAAGTCAATGAATAAAGTTAGAATACTTGGTGGATGAGACAATTTATTTCTACTTGTTTTATTAAAAAAAATAATGTTACCTACACTCTAACTTCTGTTTGTTTACAGAGAAAACTTCTGTCGAAGAATCAATCATGAATAACTATGGATAATAAATACAATATTCCTTTAGTATAACAAAGATTGTGAATACTCCATTTTCTTACTTTACATCAAGGGTCTAATTAATGCAGCCTGATGTATTCAATGGAAAGGTTCAATGAAGTATTCGATAGTAGATTGCTTAAGAAAAATATGGTTTTCATGTTATAAGTATCATAATAGATAAAGTTTCTTGGCAAGGAAGGGTAGGTGAATATACATCAATAAACTGATAGGTTGAAAAGTGGTGGAGTGATGGAAAATGAAGATGTTTTGTTGTAGGCGGAAAGATTTTTGACTTTCAATAATGATACATAAATATGTTGATTAGCATCTACAGTTACCATTAGTTCGGTTATCATTACTAACATGATTAAAGGTTTGGTCACCCTGAAATTTCGATGGTGGTGGAGACGATGATGAAGTTGTTCTTCTACAAATACATGAAAGACAAGGTGCATTTGTACTTTCTAAAGTCTCTGAGTAAATGAAATTATCAATTGTCGCAAGAATACCACCGAATACTGCCAAACTACCTACAATGTACACCTGTATATGTCTATAAGTTAACTGAGGTACACAGAGTTGTATGCATTGAATGAAGACACCAGTCAAGATTTTGTCAAAAAATGATGCGATCCCATGAACAAATGCTGCTGTGTGTACTTGTTTTACACCGATCAATGTTGTAATCACAACCAATGCCCTAACACTATTGATTGTGTTACCAATGCCTAGAATGGCTGCAGAAAAATAGATTGCTAAGAGGTTTTCATCGGCTGATTTTAAAAAGTAAGCGATTGTACAAAATCCAAGGGTAAATAGAACACCGACGATTGAACCAATCTAAAATTAAAAAAGCATGAACGATTTTTAGCGGAACATGTGCACACTCAGATATAAGTTTTATGAATATTTCATGTAATCATGTTATAAGATAGACGAACGTGCTGAGTACTTCAAAACGCTTATCGGAATTCTTGTATGAACAGTAAAACCATTCCTAGGACATATTGCATCAAGTCAAGCCAATCATTGGCAAGATGAGAAATTGAGCATTTAGAGTATTATGAATTAACGGTCTAGATTTAAAATCCTACTCAGAATACTTGAATGCGATAATGTGTAATGTTTGAGTGTTCAGTCTCAATACTAATGTCTCAGTGTTAATGTTTGTAGCTTTGATTGTGTTTGTTACAAGTTTGAAGCCTACAGAAGTTATCGATTTCGTAAAGACATCACACGCCATCCTATTGCTTTCTGTCGACTGTCTCCGACCTTCTGAAACGTCAAAGAATGCAAGCTGAGCACCAATGTGTTTATGAGTTAGCTTTCTCATAGTCGTGAATTAGAACTCGTTATCTGTATAGTGAACACTCTCTGACTTCGCATGATCCTATTGACAATGTCAGTCAGTGATGAAATCCACTTTCAGAGTATCTTCTTCGTCTCATTATTGATTATTGAGTTTTCGTCTCTGTATATTCACTTGTCAAGACTAACTAACCAAAATATGTGAAAAAGTGCAGCTCCTTAAAATTTATATGATACAATGCACTGAATGTATTCAAATTAATCCAAGTGATTAGATTGTATGTTAACTATATGGTGAGTTAACTAGCTTATTATGTGTTTCACAAGTTCGAGACCTGCAGAAGGTACTTTTGTAATTCTATTGATTCACTCATGACTTAACCTGTAATCTGTTTGATTCGTCAAGTTGTTTTCTTTGCCCTTATCACATGAGACATTTGGCCCGTTAAGTTCCTTCGGTTGGATGTCGATGTACTATTCAAACTACTTGTTGATATCGACCAATGGAAATGTACTCGGAGGCTATCTAAATTGTTTATCAATGTGTTCTGTTTAAAATTATGTGAGGCCTCATATCAGATCTCGTCAACACCATAAAATTCAAGCGTGATGTCATTATAATTATGGACTTGAATTGTTCCTTCTCTATCGAAGCCGCATAAGGTCTTACAATTACTGTTCATTTCTGCCTATGTCTTTTAAGACTCAGATGAAATTGTTTAAATAGAACTTTCAACGTTTTATAGTAGAAACAAGCTGTTGCTTATTCATTACCGATTGTAGATAGACAGATCAAGCTGTATTCAAATAGCAAATAAATCATGAATGAGGTTTAAAACTTAGTCAACCAAACTGTTATGAATCAGCGCTCAATAAAAAGTGAAATATCTTTCAGTAATAAACTTTTAACTTGATTTCAATATTGTTGAAATCGTCAATTACTTCCACTTACATAATTCCCGAGTAATTTATTGATTCTTTGTACACCAACTGATGCAATCAAACAAGAAATTGTAGTAACCAATGGAACAGAAACCATTGAACTTTTATTCATTTTTAATGAATTCAACAAAAATGGACTCATATACATCTAGAAAAATAGCAATTAAAACATAAATATTAATAAATTTCTCATTTTAATAATTACGGGATCTACAATGTTTACAAATAAGGTTCTACAATTTCACACTGCTACTAATCAGAACCGTAATTAATCGCTTCCGTTTGGATCGCTGCATAATAATCTTTAGTCGCACATTTTTAATTTATTTGTTATGTGGTTAGCAGTAGAATTCATCTTGTTTGCGGCTTGTCCGCTGAATGTAACTTGTTCCTAGTTTTGTTTTGAATAAAACGAAACCCGAGTCCGGGATCCTTTAGCTAACTGTTGTTCAATTTCATTGGTCGATAGCAACTTTCCTGATTTGGCATATTTATCAAAGTCGAAGATAAAGGTAAGATGTTCAAGTTTAGATGTGAGCATGAACACTAAAATGCTCCTATATCCGAATGATGAAATCCATATACAGAGAGACTCATATCCTGGATTTCACAGTCAGCCACATGCAAAGTATTCTAAAATTTAAGGCAAATGTTTAAAGTTAATATTCGTAAGTTAACACAGATTCCGAATTATGCACATCTTCGTATGTGCTTTCTTGCGGTGTGATGAACAAAATACGACTGGGGGACAATCGAATGTATTTAAGCAAAAGTTACAGACTATCTCAGTAAATTCTGATTACCAAACAATGAACAGTCAATTTGCAAATTAACAACAATTTGTTTCAATCTTCACTGTTTCTTCTCTTATTCCATTGCTCATGCATTTTCCAAACGATTGCGCTTCATTTCAGTTCTTTCGTCATCGGTCTTCTGCGAAAATACATTCTATGTCTGACCCACACCATATACTACTTATATAGATATAAGTAGACAACACCACAGCGGCACTGATATATGATGGTTGGATAAAGTCATGAGCTATTCCCTAGTGTTCATAATAACCCATATATATATATATATATATATATATATTGCAAGGATATGTTTTTCTCTGGATGGTAAACTGCTTTGTATTCACTAAGAATACAATACACAATATGAGTCCATATGACCATGACAAAAGAACCCTTTCAATGGAAAATTAGTCACGAGCTATCAGTTATTCATAATACAATATAAACCAGCAGGTATTTGTGTTCCAACAGTGTTATTCCAGAAAACGTTTTGATACATTTCATTCGGCTTATGCACTGAAATCATCCAGAATCATCAACTGAAAATCAAATTCTGTTCTTTTAAAATTTTCCTGAAGCTACGCACACCAAAAGTCGAAAGCTTGATTTCAACATAGAAAATGAGAGAATGGTAAATTCCAAACCTCAGTGATGTTCTCGTCAATTTATCAAATTATGCTTGGAACTCCTCTTATCTCAAATACATAACTTCCTTTAAATTTATAATTTGAGTTTTAACAAATTGATCTCAACATGTGTTATTCCTAATTACAATCTATTTGTGTTCAGTTACCTCATTACTTACCACACTATACAATCAACTAATTAATTGTCTTAGCTCTATGATCAATAGTCATCATTACTGGTGATCCAGAACTTTCTCTCACATATTATATTTATTCAGTTGAATTAAATCTATTTAAATTGCCACTTCATCGAGATGACACATATCCAAATCTAACCTATTTCACTGTTATAAGTATGTTAACTTTAGTTCTTGAGAGAGTCTGTGACCAGTGGAACTCAATAATGTCGAGTGTCAGAAAATTATCCAATACATGCAATGGATCAGGTTTGCTCTATTTCGTGAAGTGCTTAAATTTGGACATGAACACCGTGTCGTTGAAGAGATGATGCGATGATCTGAATACGTAATCTCGTCTTCAGACCAAATTTTTTATCTGTATATTTACTAAATGATGACGGCTTTTAGAATAAATATTGAAATACATTGTTAAAATGACCAACCATCATTTATTTAGCATTCGTTTTAGTCTTATATTAGAACCTGTATATTTGTTTAGAGTCTCGGTGAAGAATTATATCATTTATATATCTCACAAATTCACAAGAAACCGGTAAAGTTATATGACAGAAATGAATAATAAAAAGAATCTTGATAAAGAACAGTGAAAGATTAATGCATTAAATAAACTGAACTAGTATTACAGTACTGCAGGTTTGTAATTTTTATCGAAGCATTTCAACTAAAATATATTCGAATGGCATTTGTAATTTTTAATACAATCAGAAGATTTTCAAACTGATATATTTTTCTACATTGTACCTATTATCGTTATCCCTTATAAAAGGATGTCTTGATTGGACGTCTGAGAGGCAACGACAAAATATTGCATACATCAGCCTCACGTTTCATGGAACAAGCTAAATGCCGAATACTTTACCCTCATCAAGAACCCAATTCAAGTTGCATCAATGTCGCTTTTCATTATTTAAGCTAATTTCTTTATCGCATGCTATTTTACATATTATGCTACACTACTCATTATTGTCAAGTAGCTTGCATAATTCGTAATCATTTTAATGACCCATTTGCCACTGGGTGCGATATTGATCTAAACAAACAAATTCTCCAATAAACGTGCTACTTCTATCTATATTTTAGGTCACTCTCTCTACTAGTGATCTGAATTCTGAAATCTAATTTGTTCAAACCTCCTAGAATTGAATTTTAAAGTGTTATGTCTGTTCTCGAAGTAGAGCTCTATTTGTTTCGTTGATTCTTTATATTCTTGCTTTGTAAAGTCGCGTTATTATCTGGTTTACAGAATATGCTGTAGTTATTTTTCGACATCACTTATTGGAAGGATGCGTTTCATTTTGATGTTACTTTTAACATTTGACCAATTAACAGTTCGACGCTTTTTCAATTGTTCGATACATCAATACTTCAAATAAAACTCATCTTCCATCGCGATTTCAATCATAGTCCCTAATTGAGTTATAATCCTCAAACAGACTTCCTAAATATGATCATATAGAAGAGGTACTGTATACAAAATTATCTTCACTTGTCATTATTCTGTAAGACACTTTAATTATTTATTGCTTACCACAGAAACAGTTACACTCAGACGCATTATACTAAATGTAGAACAGCTCAACCAAAATCTTGGTAGTGTAAACCAAGCATACCAAGGCAGTGTAGATGAAAGGCTGTAGGTCCGTTTTCGTTTGGATTTGAGTTGTGAAACCACCACAGAATTACCATTAATAAATCTGTTATTGTTGTTTGTTCCATTCACTTCTAAGAATTCATCTGGTGCATCTTGAACAATAGAAAGAAATAAGTGTCAAATTCTGACTAATTGTAGATTACAAGAAATAGCGTGCATGAATCTGATTCAATACCTACAACTTGTTTGTGTGGACTGACTGTCACCTACAGATGTCAGACAATGTTATTTGGAATGTTTGTATTTAACAACACCACACATTCTACGTTCTGTAAACTCAAACAACTTGTTGTTTAGAGGATAGAATGGAGAAACATCGCAGTTGAAGCGACTTGTGTGTGTCTAATCGAACAGCACCAATCAGTCGCCTACAATCATGTGGATAATTCTCCACAAATTTACTGATAATTAAATAAAAGTGAGCATCTCTATCAACATGATCGATAGTGTTCAAACCATACTAAAATGATTCTCGAGGACCAACGTAGAAATTCTCGGTGAAAATGAGAGCGAGTGGATTATTTGCAAGGACTGGTAAGTTGAGGATATGGATGATCGGGAGAGACAAACGAGCCCGATGTCTTTGTATTTTCCATTGAACGAAAACCACTTCTTAGCAGTAGTATAACATGCAAAGATCTGGAAATACTGTCAGAAAACACATCATCAACATCAAAATCATTCGACACGCTTTGTGTAACAAAATCATAGTAATTGTACAATTCATACATCTCCATTTGTGTCCTGATTTATTGTTTGTGCTGTACACATACTTCTCCCATACACTTCAATTACCCCAACTAGATTGTCTCAATTAAAAGAAGTCAACATTTCACAGAAAAGCAGTTGAATATCAGTGAAAAACGTATATCAAAGTCGGATGATCTCCTACGTTAGGAGAAATCAGTGAATTTCGAAAACTATCTGGTAATCAGTGTTATGGATAGTTACAGTAATAACAACTACACCAACTCAATTCTCATATTTTCACATGATTATAATAACGTTAGTTGGATGTTGGCAGGCTATTTAATTTAAACGTTGATTACGACGAGCAAGTATGGAGCTAGAAGTGGATCAAATGGACTAAATGAATGTTTAACCACCCTCCATAAAGTTTAGATCGGTTTCCTACTTATTGTGGTCGAATTAGTATTATATTACATAGTGAAAACGATCATCTCAGATTGTTTGTGATATACCGATTTCTAAATCAAAATCCACTCGTAAATTTCAACCAATGTGTGTTCAGCTAATTCATTCAGTTCAGTAAACCGATTTGAATGTTGTAAAGTCAACAGTACATACAAAATATGATAGAAGTATCCACTTCAATCAGTGTCAATATACTCTGATACTGAATCACAGTACCAAATATTACTTGTAATGCTGCAGTCAGTAGACTAAGAAAAGGACTACTGTAAATAAATCAAATTATGTCGGTGAAAAATTTAGCCGAAAATAGAAAATATTCGACACATTAATTTTGTAATGAATAAACCGATTTGTTGTACAGTGATAATCAAGGGTACATATTTGTGTAATGAAAGAGATTATAGACAGAGTATATGTGAGTTTATTGGATACGAAAGCATCATATTTTATCCTTGATTATTTTCCTACACTACATAGTGCCAATCTACACAGGTTTCTTTGGTTCGGGAATGAATTTGCTCACAAGGTGTGTGAAGGAAACTGATAGGAAGATGCTAACATGAAGATGCGATTTGTTGAGACCTGTCAGTTCTAGGAGGTACTATACATCTATTTCGTCTTAGTTTGATGCTTCTGGTAACGTTTTCCCTTCTCAAGAGTGAAATGTGAATCTTACCACCCAGGGACCACCAGTGGACCACAGATCAGTGGGTTTTGTGCAGTATGATCTGGATGCCTCTGAGTTGTAAATAATCGATGACGAGAAATCCCAAATTTCGATGAAACAACTGTCTGATGATAACTAACATTTTGGCAATTATCTAACTGAGTTCAGTTCGCTACTTAATCTAATGTCAACCTGTACATTCGTCATAACACTGACCAATGAAACTTGAAAATGATGAATGACAGAGATTCGCGATCAATTTTAGTTCATTCCTACTACATCGACAAAAATAACAGTTAAGTGGAAAGTAAGTTTTCCAGTGTTTTTATCATTACTGTGTCCTTCAAACTGATCATTCAGTATGCAATAATGAACAACGAATGAACGTTTAGCAAGTTAGTAGTGATCCCGAGTCTAGACTGATCAAATGTTTAGTTTTTATAGATCAAATCGGTTGCACCGAAATTCTCGTTTGTACAATAAGTACAGAGATCTCTCTAAAAATACTTTCATCGGGATCATCTCCATTTGTTGAAACACGTGAACACATCAACAAACAACATTCATATATATTCGAGACTTCTGAAATTCTATCTAAATCAACATAATATTTGACTTACTTTCATAGGATTGTATTGTGAAAAATTGGTGTGCTTTCGGTTTATCTTCACGAACACCACAATGGAAGATTATTGTGAATAATACTCCAATCCCAACGACAATCAATGCAACATTTCGAAATATGGGCAAATCTTGAATTGTTATATTATATTCTGAATGTACAACTGACTGTTTTCCAACATTAGTCGACTGATTATTTATCGATTCATTGAACAATGTTACTAGTTTACTTTCAACTATAGTGCCAGTTGTTAGTAATGATTTTGTGAATAGTTGACTGTTGTTCACATGGTTGTCAGTTTCATTTACTGATTTCAAAAGTAACAAACCGGATTTTTCTGATTCAAAAAACAGATACGTCACAAGCAATGTAGCCATATCACCTATACCACAGAAGAAATATCGTAACGATGCAAGTAATACTCGTTCATCATGTTGATCTGTCAAATCATTGATAATTGATAAGTGAGGAATTTGTACAGCTGCCCAACCAACCTTTAAAACATTGTTGTGTAAATAAAAAGAAAATCAGTCTGATCTGAAATCAGTGTTCTAACTTAAGATGATGAAAATGATCCTTTATTACTATACTCAAGTGAAATCCTGTGCTTAGTTCAATTCATCTCATTGAAAAGAAGACACTATTTGTACAAATGGTTGGTTAACAAATGTTTAACTTCATTTATAAATTATTCTTTATAGTGTTGTAATTCACAGTCATTTACATGTGGATTTCTACTCAGCTCTCTTCTAAAACAATCGCTGAAGAAAACATTTCAACCTAAGGTCTAATATGATTTAGCTTAAAGAATAATTGACTTCAATTTGATAGGGAATTGATTTCCTGTTTTCTATTATTGGTGATAATATTGATTTCATGTTTTAGCCTATCCAAATTTATTGGTTTGTAGTTTGTAAAATCCCCTTATGTCAGTGTGAAATTATTGTTCGAACCTTTTGACACCTTAAAGTATTCAGCTTTTAAAATTCTATATGATACGACTAACTTATCTAGAATTTGCTATATCAGTTTCTCGGGGCTCTCTTTATTTTCCGATAAATTACATTGACTGACAACATACTAACCATGACCAGTATTAAGCGTTGTATTTATTGTTACCTGAGATAACTGCTAAAAAGTAGCATGAAATGTTATATCGTTGGTTACCGGTTCAGTGGTCTAGAGGTTAAGAGTTAGATCGCGAGACCAAATATCCTGGGTTAGGATCCCGCGTTTAGGATCGTGGATGAGCACTGCTGAGGAGTTCCATAATATGATGAAACGGCCGTCCAGTGCTTCCAGTTCCCATGGTAGTCTAGTTTTAATCGACTCAAAGATTCAATTATTGAATAAAGTGAATTACAAATAATTTTAAAGAATGAAATAATTACAATTATTAACTTATTTAAAATGAGGGGAATATTTTAAAGAAGAAGAAGCATGGTGGATGTGTGAATGGGAAAGAATTTCACTTAATTAGGAATTTTCTATTTCATCATTGAGAGAACCAATTCCGATAGTGTAATAAGAAGATGAAGATTATCAGAAGAGCTATGTGATGATATATTAGCTCAATACATTTCGAACAATCTGATCACACATAATATGCTTGTTAAGAACATTTATTTAAATAAAAGCTCAACTAGACTGGAAATGAGAAAGGGTTTAAGAGGAGACAAGGATAATAATAATAAACTAATGTGAAAACAATTTGAAACCTGATCACTCTGGATAATAATTCTACTAATATCCTCAAAAATATTTGGATCTTATTTATTGACCGCAAAACAAAGAAAGTTGATCAATCAGGAAGTTATATGACAAAAAATAGTACCGACATATAGTTTTGTACGTTATCTACCCAAGTACAAATTAATGGAATGGATCTATTCAAGCTGTTATACACCATAGTACTTAAATACAGAGAATTAATAATGATTAGTTAAAATAGCAGATTATAATTTAGATCTTTGTAGGGGCTGGTACTATGTCAAGCCCACATAGGTTATTCTAGCATATGGACAGATTAATTTATTCATTCTCCTCAAACTACATTTTTAGATTGTCACTTAATCGTTTACTAACCCTGACTAATTTTTATATGATCGTATGTGTGCAAATTATTTATCTTGCTTATCGCATGTCTGTAACTTACTTTTGTTTGACTATGAATATTGATTTAGGCTTCGTTAAATGGAGTTGGCTGAAACGCCGGCGAGACTATAGTTTATGAACGACCTTTGAAGGAATCTTAAGTGACTTTGAGAAATATTAATCAATCAAAAGACAGTTAGTATAGAGTAAAAATATATTATGCAACACCAAAGAATTAGAGTGGGTACACTTCTTTTACATGTTCCAAAAATTTCTCAAAGTTAGAAAGAGGTTCAAAGGTTTTAAAATCGCAAAGGTAAAGGAACTCATCCATGTAGCTCCATAATACTCGGTCTCTGGAACCATGATAAGGTCACAAAAACTCTTTCAGCCTCCACCAAACAGCTTCAATATTGTTTGTATGTACTTTGGTTGTGTAAGTTTGTCATTTTTATTACGCATATATCCCTAAAACACTCATACCTCTGAACAGCCGAAGCTTCAGTAACATCTGCGAATATTGCTGCCAATAAAACTGGTGCTTTTATTATACAGTTCAAAGCAATTATTATAATTTGTCTTAGTCTCAATTTGGATCGAGAGAAAAAAGTTCCTATTCTAACAGACTTCTTCCTCTAGCATATATTACATCGAAAGAAAACATCATCAGGGTAGTCTGCGCAAGGACTACAAGTCAATTGATTACCGCGATTGCAAATAAAGGAACTTCTTAGTAGTCCCATTTATTATAGCGGCCTAATTGTCACGTTTTCTCTAAAATCCTCTGTGAACCGATGGTACCTCAACCGCTGCTGCTACCTTGACGTGGTGGTCGGGCTTGCCTATCATAGTGAACCAACCGAGCTATATCGGCTGGAACATTAGTTCCTCAAGGTCCTAGCCTTCCAGGCAAGTCGGTTGAAGAGCGGTAAGACTAAAAGCAGCAAACCAAAACGTGGCATCAGAGCTTGAAATCACTAACTTCTAGTCTGAGCCATGTTGGTAGATTCAGACTACCTGGTTGGGGTCCGCGTGACTATCGTGACCAATGGTTGAAAACTGTGTGTGACATGGCTCAGAATCGATCACAATGGCGTAGGTGTATACACTATTTGTCTTCCCTCAAACTGTGAGATTAAAGTTACTTTATTACTTTATATTTACGAACTAATTCATTTTCCCTTCGTTGTATTCTCATACATAACATTTTTTTATGAATTGCTACCATTGAACTAAGCACTTTAATGAATTTGGTCTTGATCTTGTTGTGCTAATGAGGTATGGCAACTTGGACCGATGCATATATGTGCCTGGTCCTACGTTGTAGATGACTGACTGATTAAACCGATTGTACATGAGCATCGGGTACTAGAATTGGCGCTTTAACCTTGAAACTCCTTAGACGCTTCTGATTGGCTCGTCCACAAATTATAATCTCCGCTAAGCTCTCTTCGCTTCATCCCTCTGAGTGTCTTTCCAGATCAACGACTGTACAAAATACATATCTATTCAAAAATCCATTCTCGTATTTGACTTATTTAATTCCGTTATTCACCATTGTGAATTCAGTCGATGATTATATACGAGGATTGCGGACATATATATTTCGATAACAATCATTCGTACGATCTACCTGTTCAATTCGCTGTGTAGTTCTAGCTTGAGGTTTACGAGACTAGCTTAGAATTCGAATATAGCGTTCAACCAGCAAGACTTATCATTAACCATCAATTATATCGGGTAAACTTTGAAAAAAATTACAGTTTAAAAATTGCAGATAATTTAGTTTTGTGTAATGTAATCATAAAACAATTAAAAGCACATAAAAAATTTATTCTACTAGCGATTTCGCTGTCAAACAATTCATGATTGACAATGTGTTCGGTGAAATATACTTAATTCTCACAACTGTACTGTCGTAATTTTCATTTCAATGTCTACACATGTACACAGATTTACATAAAACACATCGTACTAAAATATTCACTCCATCGACAAACTTTATTACTTAATATTTCTCAGAGTGATTCCGAGAATTCCACATCACAATCACAAACATTGATTGATACAATAAGACATACCTGAACACAAATCATAAACATACTATTGATCAATAACTTCGCCCAAACTGGAAGTTCAACTAAATATTCTGGTTGTCCAAACATCAATGGAAATGCTATAAGCATCAATAAACATCCACCTAAATGCCATGACTTTCTCTGTCCAAGTCTCAACTGCCGTTTCATTCGATTCAACAACCTCTTATCCTTCTTTACACTTTCATCTTCACATGTTATCGACTGGTGATCAGCTGTCGATTTTTTAGTTGGACTAAGTGGACGATCTGATAAATAACCAATCAATGGTGTGGCTAATCCATTAGCAATCTGACCACATAATAATAATGCTCCAACTTGTGAACTACTCAAACTGATACAATTTTCATAGAATATGATGTAGAATATACTAATAACTCCTGCAACAAGATCTTTAAGCATTTGACCTGTTCCATAAGCAATTTTACTAATCCATTTCATTTTCATTTATCGTTGTAGCTTGACTAAATGATAATGATTGTGAAAATTGAATGTCATTCACAATTCACCGGCTTTAATCAAGATTTACAAGTGAGTTAATTAAAAATTGCACACATTAACTTGTTGAATTGAGTAGTTCAGTTTAAATACTGTTTATTATATGTACAACAATTTTGTCCAGTAATTTTAATTGTCTTAATTAATCAATAAGATCTGACTTATTTAAATTGACCAATCAATGAATAAGGATTTAAATTCTTATTTATCCAATCAACCAATAGAAATAAACCTTTATTTCGATTAATTAAAATTGAATTTTGATCATTGAATTCATGAATCAATTGAAGCTAGACTATCATGGAAAACCTGAAAGCACTAGATAGACGTTTCGTCCTATTGTGGGACTCATCAGCTGAATTAATATAATATCTACAAAACCCACTTCTGATAATAAAATTGAATTGATGATGAAAATTTTTTTATATAATCTATGATGATTGAATATAATAAACAAAAATATCCTTTGTTTCAATCCTTTAATACATTAAAGGATTGTATTAACAGAAGGCTATCAACTTGATTGAGGAATGTTGTTTTGAGGGGAATCATCATAATTAATTAGTAGTCCATAATGATTTAGGATGTTTTTGTGACAGAAAATTTTGTTCTATTTTTTGATATTGAATAAAATAATCTTTGAATTATATTAGTATGAGATTATGTTTTTATTGTGATTTTATGCCCGGCTTTTTATTACGTGATTTATTCATCCATCGAAATACGACTTGTCTAAACTTAACACTGTGCCAAACCAATGACGCATCGATGGGTATAAGCAGCCTAGCGTCCTTATTGGTCTCCTGTCCTTCCAGTTGAGCCCAAAACATCAATACCAGCTTCCATTCTACGAATCATTTACTTCAAACATACTTGGTTTATATCCCAACTAAACAGACCTCATCACACCATAAAATAGAAAATAATATTTGTACAATATCAAGCCAAAATATAGCTGTGTACATGGGAGACAGTAATCAATAAACTGAGTATAGTTTAGGAACAGTAAATCGTATAATAATAATCTATAGGTCAAAATGAAGATTATGATATAACGAATATAGATATACATGATCTAGTTACTGAACAGTCATACAATAGGAATATGTATAAATATAATATTAGTCCATTAATACATCTCAGAATTTACACGTAATTTAATCTTCACTAGGATGTAACGGTATTTGTTGATATTGATGAGAGTCAGTATTAATTTACCAACCAGTTAAAATATGTCGCAATATCGAGTCATCTAGACTAGTAGCCATATTGTAGCTTGATCGATAAGATTTGATCTGCACTAAGAAGGACTTCACATACATCATTTGCTCACACTGAAATATTTCAAAGAGATATACCTGTAAAACCTCTTTGACATCGGTTTCACGTACCCTCAATATATTCAGTAAAATAGATTTCAAAATATTCATTTTGATCTTATTGTTCAACTCGTGATATGATGTAAATTGAGCCAATATGTGATAACTAAAAATGTCAACAGTGTGAATATAGTAAATTATGAAATTTGTATGTTTTGCATCCATTGTTGACGATTGTTTTTAATGAAACAGACAACTGCTACATCCTGTCACTATTAATCGATAATGGTGCTTTTCTACTTTTTAACATGCTAAACATACGTATACTACTAATAAAAAGGATTTATTCCATACAACCTACTTTTTCATCAAACAAAAAGTAAATGAAGTCACCCTATTTCAAGGCTTCTCGTTAGCTTTAAATAACCTGAAGTTATAAAGATTAGTATAAATATAGTTTTCAACTACTTCATTTGATAAAGTTCAATCTGATGTTCAACAGCCAGATAAAAAATCATGAGAATCAAGGTAACATTCAGACCCCAATGAGAATAGTCAGTTGATCTATCTATCTATCTATCTATCTATCTATCTATCTATCTATCTATCTATCTATCTATCTATCTATCTATCTATCTATACATTTTGTCTACATGTGCTGTGCAATATTCAAAATTGCATCAGCACGGAGCTTAACAAGGTAGCACAGTGGTGCTGAAAATGGCAGCTGGAGCTTAATAGAGCTAAATGTGGATAAATATGCTTCGGTGATACATCACTCAACCTCGATCTTACCATAAATGGTGAAGTGTTATCTAGGCTACACACAGTAGTAGACATAGGACTTAGGTATTCCTACGACATGCCGTTTACCGAACAGATAATGAAACAGAATTCCAAGTCTCAACACCTTATATGTTACATAACTCGTAAGCTTTTTAACAATCAATCACGTATCTTAATGTACAAAGATTGTGTTCGACCACCCCTAAAATACTACGCGTTTATTCGTAAAAATGCACGCATAAAGGATAAATTGAGGCTCGAATCAGTAGCGCGAGGAATTACACTTGAATTCATGGAACTGATTGTACCTTGACTTATAATTCTAGATGTATTAAACTTCGGCTCGACACTACATGGAAGAGGTGACCCAAACCAAATCCGGTCATCATCATCTTCAAAATACCTAACAAACTATCCTTCACATCCAATCAAGTAATTCAATATGCAGAAACTTTATATCACGACATTCAAAACTGCTTGTCACTAGTGAAAAAAACATATTCTAAATCATCTCTCTATATGAATTACTTGACCTGTAAAATTTTCTAGACTCTGGAATAATCTAGCACAATCTATCCGTACGATAAAATCTCTCCCGTTGTTTGTTCGCTGCATTGATGCATACTTCTCCTCTGAAAATGCATTAAATGTTCTAGCGCCTGTAAGTGTATGTTACTCCACAAGTGAGAGTATATGAACATTAAATGTTTAACCACTTACCTGATGTCACTTTATATTAACACTGTTACTAGCAACTTTAACGCCTTTGAATAATATTTAACATGAACAATGTTAAGCCTGACAGGCTTATATTGGTAATCATTGTTTTGTTGTTCCGTGCTCTCTGTTTTAATCTTACTTTCTCTAGTTGTAGATCATTATAAATAATTCGTCCATAATAATTCGGCTGTATCGAGGCTATACGCACAGTATGCACATATGCCAATTAGAGACTGACCAGTTGCAGTCCTAACACGTCGATGGGAAGATTCAAACAAGCAATACTAAATGAACTTAAAGAACACCGTTCATAAATCATCAGGCTATCCACTTAAGAAAAAATTAAAAGTTCCCTACTGATGCATTGCATTGCTGTGGTACATGTCGTAGATAAACTACTTAACAATTACTGAACTAGCAAACTTGAAACAATTTTATATCACATGTTTCTTCTCTACATCCAATATTACTATTTATATATCAAATTGATCATTCCTTTAAAGTGATATGAATTCGGTAATTATTATTCTCAGAATATACATATATATCTGTATATATAAACTTAATACAGGAAAATTAGAAAAAATGGTTGAGAAAAACCCATCGTTATTAGAATTCGAAAATTGCTGATGAGCATTAGTGAAATTATCAAAAACTAATATGAGTAAACCTGGGTAGTAAATAGACTCTACAGGCTAGTTTTACAGTTCATTCTATACTTGTTCACTTTTGACAACTATCAATGAAATAGCAATGATCTGATTTATGTGCTCTTATGAACCCAATCATATACGACTCATAATGACGTCAGTTAGTCTTTGAATTTCTATTACTATTATCCAGAGAAAAATAATGAAACTACCTAACTATTTTGTAAATGCTTGCTTGATTGTCACTGCCTGTCAGATATCGTTTATAAACTCTTTTGAAGGGAACTGTCTTCTATCACCAATTATTATACCATTTTTTAAGCTGAGGTCATATATTGAAAAGAAATTTATTTGAATTGTAACACTCTGTTATAACGTATGTCCTTTTAATACATAAACGTCCAATGATACATAAAATCGTACGAGCAGTCTTGATTGCGTATCGGCCCTGCTTTCTGCCTAGCCTAGCCAGTTGAGTGCAGAACACAAATAACAGCCTCGGCAATATGAATCATTATTTACAAACACACTTGGTTTTTATATAACCCAAAGTAATCAATAAACTGATTATAACTCAAGAATCGTATGATAATAAGTCAAAGGTCAAAATAAAGCTAATGATAAGAGAAATACGAATATGAATATTTCAGTTACGTAATAATTGTACAATAGGAAATAGGCATATTACATTGATCCATAAATAGACCTAAAAGTTACCATTCGTAATTCACCGGGGGATATAACACCTCCCCTTTTTGAGAAATCCGGAGTTGATATCCGGATTTTAAATTTCTCGAATTCCTCCTCCCCCACGAAAGACTGTTGGATCCTCATATAGCCAAGTTACTATTAATGTGACATTATATAGAACATGTTTGTCATATTTAACAGAGAAATCATTAGAACTGACTGGATCATGAGAATCGACGACAATTGATTTGAGGTCACCAGCGTTTGATTCTTGTGAAACAGTTTGCTTGAATTTTTTCGGAACCTCATTGGCAGATAATTAATCATAATCAGTGTCTATGAAAAACGTATTGGATGCTTGATTATCATTCAATGCATCTGACATTTTTATCCCATTTTTATAGAGTTCAACAGGAACATATGAATCATCAAAATAATCTAAATTTGGCAGAACAATTAAAGAATCTTGATCATTAGATTCATTAGAAACATTTTTCGCATTATGACTAGTTTCATTTGGCACCACTGTATCCACTATACTGCTCGCTTTGTTTCCCGTTTCTTCGTGGGCGGGTACTGCAGCAATTTCATGAGCATTTAGCAAGACATTGTCTTTCTGTAAACAGGTTGATCCACTGTTTGCACGTCCGTTTTCGGGGTTAATAGGACTTGGACCGTGTATAGGGCATGTCTCTGAAACAGACAGTACCGGACTACTGGGCTGATCATGTAGGACTGCTACTGCTGCATTTGAATTACTGTTTTTCGCGGATTCACTGAGGCTTTCCTCTGCATATTCATTTGTTCTGCGATCGACTTCCAGTTCTGTACGCAATTTAGAAATCAATGCGTCAACTTCCATTGCACCCCAAAGCATGGGTGATTCAGCAGCTTAGCATGTAACTTGTCAA